TTGGTGCTAAATATGGGATGCTCATTGCTATGCAAACAGCCTGGATGGGCCTGAGTGAGGCCTGATTGCCTGGCAACCAGAAGTCCTCTCTCCTCCCCTCCACACTCACCTCCCCCACCTGCAGTGTCTCTCTCTTTTTAAAAATCAACTCTCTGCTCCCCCTTTTCTAACTGCCTGGGGAATCTGCTGTAATGTGGCTTGAATAGGGATGTAAAGGGAGGTGGGATCTGACATGGGGTCTTTTGCCCCAGACCATGCATGCTCAGGAACCCCTTGGGGACAGAAGGAATTTCTGTCACACAGGGCAACAGGATGAGTAGCAGCTGCAACACTGGAGGGTGAGTCTAGGTCCCTAAAATGGACAGATGGGGCCCAGGGGTGCTGAGTAGCTGGTGGGGAGAGACGCCCAGTGTAGAGGAGCTGGCTTCAGCGAGGCCCGGAGGGGTGTTGCTCAGAGCTCCTCTCAGTGTGGGCTCTAAAGTGGCCACTGGTCCCATGGTGAAAGTGTGGGCAATCCCTTGGGCCGGCAGCCGCCTGGAGGAAGAGAGGTTCACCCGCAGGTGAGGGACTTGAGAAGATACCTACACCACTGACCATCTTGACATCTGGCAACCCTCACCCAGAGGTTTGTGTATTTGCCGGCTTTCTAGATGACTGCCTCGTGACCTCCATTCTGGTGCCAGGCCCTGGAAGACAGCTCAGGCTGGGGCTGGGTGTCTCAGAAGAGAGGACTTGGAGTGAGGCCTTGCCGCCAGCCTGCATGCTCCTGAAGCTACAAGCTGGCTGGGTGAGGGGCCGAGGGCTTGCTTCTTCCTGACTCTCTTCCCAGGGAAAGGGGCCTACCTGTCCTCAATGAAGTTATCCTCAATCCAGCCAGCTTATCCTTCCCCTACCACCACACTGGGGAATTACAGAAAGAACATTCCAGGAAACCAGGGCGACTGTGTGACCACTGGGGCGGGAGAGCTGGGGTGGAGGAGGCTCTGGGAGGGGGGCCCAGTACTAGCTGACATTTATGGGGCTTGAATCTAGGTCAGGCTCATTACAGAAGGCTTGCAAACCTCATGCCTCTTAACACTCACAACAATCCTGACAGGTCTATGGTCATCTATACGGTTTGACAGCTGGGGAAACTGAGGCAAGGAATTTAAGTTGCGGTCTCATGCGATGGAGCCAAGTTTGACCCAGGCTGGTCAGACCAGGGGATCTGATCCTGTGACCTTGACATTCTCTAGGAAATCAGGCCGGGAAGGGTGATGAGAGTGACAGCCTGTCTCTTCTAGCTTGTCTCAGCCCTCCGTGATGTGGGGCTGCTGTTGCTTCTGTACAGACGGGGGCATGAAGCACAGCAGGTCAGGCAGCTGACCCCTGGCACAGAGACACAAGGTGGCAAATGGAGTCCCTGGCCCCCTGGACTTAACCAGCCATCTTGCGGTGAATAAGAGGGCTTTAGCTTTGAAGCCTACAGGGTGGTGTGGGGGGTGCCTTTTCTGGGGCCCTGGGGCCCTACTTGGCTGTATATATTGTGTGCTGTCCTCTCAGCCTTTCTCTGGGTCTGTCTCTGCCTTTCTCAGCTGCCTGTGCCTCCAGCTGCTTCTCACTCAGTGTCTTGTGAATGGTCCTTGAGCCCCGGGGAAGGCGGGATGGTGGTGGGGACGGTGGGGGAAGCAGAGTGCGGCTTCTGAGCTCCCAGGAACAATCCACGGACCCATCTGGGGCATTGCCCTTCCCAGTATGGCCCAGCCAGAGGGCTACATCACCTCAAAGCTGGGAGGCACCTGTCAGAGGCTCATTGTGTCTCCCCAGAGTTCCCATGTTGAAGCCCTGACCCCCTATGTGACTATATTTGGGCACAGGGCTTTTATTAGGGAGGTGATTAAAGATATAGGAGGTCATAATGGTCAAACCCTAGTCCAATAGGACTGATGTCCTCATGTGAAGAGGAAGGGACACCAGAGAGCATTGTCTCGGTGCAACAGGAAAAGGGCCCCTTGAGGCCCTGTGAGAAAGTGGCCAGGAGAAGAAGGTCTCAGCGGGATTTAGCCCTGCTGGTGTTTTGATCTCAGACTTGCAGCCCAGCTAGACGGTGAGAAATAAACATCTGTTGTTAGATGTTTGGGGTCTTCCTGGAGTGTCCTGAGCCTACTGAGAAGTTTGTGTCTGATCCAAGCCCTTTGCTTTATAAATGAGGAAACTGAGGCCTGGGTGTGAATTTACTGAGGTCACATGGAGTAGAAATGGGGTCCAGGTCCCCAATGCCTGGTGCTGTTGTTCAGGCCAGTGGGAGGGTGAGCAGGCTGGGTGGGCTCTCGGAGGGCATTCCACAGGTAGATGAGGGCAACGTGGCCCCTGGAAAGGTTTGGCAGGGTGGTGTTGACTTTGGTCTTCAGTAGATGGGGGTGTCCTCTTTAGACATAAGCTGGCCCAGCTTTGGGGAGGACTGGGAGAAACTCCCATTTCCTTCTTTTCATCCTCGCCTGGATGATACACTCTCTGTGTCATATTTTTAGATTTCATAACGAGACAGGATGGCTCCAGCCCAGGATGTGAGTGAGGGATTTATCTCTCTAGGCAGCTTGCCCCTGGATGGACTTGACCCAAGGGAAGGCATTTGTCCTGGACTTTGGCACCAGGCTCTGGGTTGGGGCCAGTTTTGATCAGCAGCTTTAGGGATGAATCCAGGCAGGAAAGACACACCCTTAAGAAGGGAGGTGTTGCCTCAAGTCCCCACTGGTGGCAAAGGCCTTGCTCGTCTTTCCAGGACCCAGAAAGAGGAACTGGTGGTAGGCTGGCAGTGGGGAGCAGCTCCAGAGACCCCTGCTCTCTGAGGCCCAGGAGGCCATGGGAAAGGGGAGGAGGGTCGGTGGCCTGGCAGGAAACAGCAAAGTCTAGGCATCATGGGACTCTGGAGGTTTCTGCCTTCACGCTGAGCAGGGCAGTCACTTTCCTGCCAGGGCTGGGTGTTCTAGCTGTATATCAGGGTACTGGATCACTCTCTGTCCTGCTCATCTTCAGGGCTCTGTGGTACATAATCCCCCACTGAGGTGCTACACTCTCCTCAAGTGCAGTTTGTTGGGGGCTGTTTTAAAATGCACCTGGAATTTTGTTTTGAGTCAGGCAGGGTGAGGTCCACAGGCCAGGAGACAACCGGAGGGGAAGCTTGTCAGTCACACTTCCAAGGAGGGCAGGGAGGGTGGGGTTGTGGGTGTAGTGAGCTGAGGCCCCCAGGGCCACCCAGGCAGTAGCAGGGGCCAGGGGAACCAAGGGTGGGAGAGAGGGTGTGAGCCTTGCTTGTGGCTGCCGGGGAAGAAGCGGAAGGACAGGTGAGTGGGCCTGGGGTTGGCTGGCTTGATAACCACAGCACTAGACCTACAGAGCCAGGGCCTGGCCCTGGGTGACAGTGAGGTACCTGGCTCAGGCGCCAGGGGTTGTCCTTCAGGACCAACCACAGGGGTGCTTTTCCCTGACTTGCACATGGTGATGGGAGCTGGAAGCGCCCCCCCAGCTGACCCCTGTAATAGTCATGGTTGTTTGTTCTATATCTTATGATGTTTTTATAACAGGATGGTCCCTAGGAAAACGGGAAGTTCCAGGTTCCCTGCCCCACCCAGAAGGAGGGTAGAGCTGAGCAGAGAAAAAGGAGAGAAGAGAAGAAGAGAATGAAGCAGGATGGAGAAGGAGGAGACCTGAGGAAGCCACATGGAGCAGCAAGCATGTGCGGAAGAAACCAGGCTTGTTTCCTGACCCTGGACTGGTCAAGGCAGATGTGGGTGAGATCCCTGTAGGGAGGTGACTATGGCAGTGTTTATATTGATTTTGGTTTTGCTCTTTTCCTCCCAGATTTGTCTGGCCATGTCTGACCCTTTTCCATGGGTCCCGGCCAGAAGGTGCTTTAGTCTAGTGGCAGCTTTCAGGCCTTGCTTTGGGCCAATCCCTTTGGGTTGACTTTTGCCCACGAGGGGATGGGTAACTTCAGGTGTTTGATTTAGAAGTTATATTCTTTGTGTTCCATATTGTATATTTACTGCATTAAAGTCCCTTTTCATTAAAATTTTTATATGTTTTGTCTTGTTGCGGCGGATGGCAGAACCCACTTAGAGCAGGCAGGTTTGGGGCTTCAGGGGTGCCCCTCTCCCCCTGTCCTGTAACAGATTTGGTGTCCTATAACAGGTCTCACCCACATCTGCCTTAGCCAGTCCAGGGCCAGGAAACAAGCCCGGTTTCTTCATCACGTGCTTGCTGCTCCATGTGGCTTCCTCAGGTCTCCTCCTGCTCCATCCTGCTTCATTCTCTCTTCTCTCGCCTGCCTCTTCTCTCCTTTTTCTCTGCTCAGCTCCACCCTCGTTCTGGGTGGGGCAGGGAACCTGGAACTTCCCTTTTTCCTTGGGACCTCCCTGTTACATTTTGACTGCTTGGAGCCCTGCCGAAAGGAGGGTTTGCCCCTTCCAGGGTTCCTGGAAAGGGCAAACAAACCACCTCTTTGATATGCAAACCGAACAATCTTGGGCCCACACCCTCACACCTCCTTTCATCAGTCACCTAGGGTCCCTGACCACCCTGGAAAGATGGTAAGTTAAAACACTTAGCACATACAACAAAGACAGTGGGTGATTCAAATAAACAGTGTTTTAAAAAAACAAATCCATAAGTATGTTCCATACATGCCTTTAAGACATGCTTACAGAAAAAAGCTATTTGTTATTAATACAAACTTAAAGTCCAACTGGCCAGGCTCTATTTTATCTGGCAAGCTAGGCTGTGGCCACTGTCCCAAGTTTCCTCTACTCTTGGGGTCTTCACCAAGCCCATCAATTAGCCCAGGACAGAGACAGAGCTGCAGGGTTGGGGAGGGGTCAGCTAACAACAGCCAGGCCAAGAGGGAGAAAGTGACAGATGCAGAGATAGACAGAAAGGAACAAAAGAACTGTGGGGCCAGGAGAGCTGGTCCCCCTCAACCGCCCTCTCACCTGCACCGCCCTCTCTTCGGGCCCAGCCCTCACCTTGGAGTAAGTGGCTCCATTGATGACTTCTCCCTTCCTCAGCCAGATGATGGAGGCTGCAGGTTTGGCGTTGTCCGCATGGCAGGTGAGGTTGAGGGGGTCCCCTGCCCGCAGGCTGATTACAGGCCCCCCCAGGATGACCGGATCATCGGGTGGCACTGTGGGGAGAGGAGTCGTGAGGTTAGGCTGAGGGCACGCATGGGACCTCTCCTCTCCGCAGGGCTGACAGGCTGGGTGGATTTGATGGAGATGGTGATAAGCAGTCATTATCATACTTTAATAAAACGTATAATCCTCTTGTATTGTAACAATACCAGCGACAACAGCAATAATCCCTGACGTGCTCTGCATGTTTATCTGCAGAGAATGCCTGTGCCATCACCTCACCCCACACTCTGGGCAGAGAGGGCTGGTCCGGAGCTCCTCTGCCTGGCTAAAATGGTGTCGCTTCTTTTTAAAGGCCTCTTCCTCTCTTTTAGAACAAAACACTGCCACATCTGTTGTCTGGTTTAATCCTCTCAACGGTCTTTCGAGGTAAACAATGTTATTATCTCAGATCCAGAAGCAGAGGCTCCGCAGGGGTAACCGACTTGCTCAAGGTCACACAGCAAGTGAGTTGGCAGACCCAGGGCTGGAAGCCAGGTCCCCTGACACCTGGAGGCCCCTGGAGGGGACAAGTGACAGGCAGCCCTCAGAGCTGACAGGGCCATGCGCCCCCCCCCCCCACCTGCCCCGGGAAATTTCCTTAGTTTTGATTCCTTCTGAGTAGCTCCACATGCCGGAGTCAGGATGTATCCCTCCTGCCTTCCACTTCATTTTGTCCTGTGAGTTTTGGCCCCTGAGAGATGGGGAGTCCCCAGAGGAGAGGCTTATCCACTGCCTGGCATATACCTACCACAGAGCCTGGACCCAGAGCCCTGGGCCTGTTGGAAACTCCATAAACATTTGCTGGCTCCACAGAGTCACCCTTCCAGGCCTCTGGGGTACAGGCTGGGCAGTGATGAAGATAGCTGGCCGGGAGTGGCCCAGAGAAGTTAAGTGACTGCTGTAAGGTCACAGAGCATCTTCTAATATTTGTGCTCATGGGCACATGGGGGCTTTCAGGCCGCTGCTGTTCCTGGCCGCTCCTCCCTGGACAGGACACAGTGGGCAGGGCTCCCTCAGGACACTGGAGGAGGCCCTGTCTCCCTCCTGTAGGGAGGGAGGGACTGGGTCAGTCTGTTCCGGAGGTCTCAGAGGGGCTGGGTGTTTGATGAGTGACTGAATGAAGGGTAAGTGTGTGATACACTTGGGATCCTGGCACAAAGGGGCGCTCGCTGCCAGGTTGCCAGAGGAAGCTTGTCCTTCCCACGCTGTGGGTTGCAGGAGAGTGCCTCCGTCCCATCACACAGTACCAGGCCAGAGCTAGCTGGCTGCACCTTCTGGGTCCTCCCTGCAGGACGTTCCTCCCCCCTCAAACTATGGCTTTCCTCTCTTCCCAGGGCCTTCCCTACCTGGGGCTCTGGGAAACCCCAGGAGCTCAGGAGGGCCCTCAACTGGGGGTCTGGCCCTCCCTTCCTAGCCTGGTTTGGGACAGAGAGCCCCACGTTGCTATTCCTGAGGAAAGGACCACAAGTCTGTCACGATTCCAGAGTCTATGACTGCCAGCCCCAGAGCCCACCTGAGATTTTGGCCCAGTGCGGAAGTCTATAAAATCCAGCCCTGCCCAGTGCTGGCTTGGGAGCCAAAGCTCCCCAGGAGGCCCTGGGCACAGTGCAGATGGTGGGTGCGGGCTGGATGGTGGGGCCGCCCTCCATCCCCACCCACCCCGTACCCGCTTATTAGAGCTGCGGGCATCCTTGATGTGGGTGTGGCCAGAGAGCCCAGGGGGGCTAATGAGTGCTTTCCATAGATGGGTGGGTGTGACTGTGCGGATGAGGGGACTTCTGTCTCCATGCGGGCAGGGCGGGGCCCCCTGCCCCTTCTTTGTGGGGCACAGATTTCTGTCCACGGGGCACCCAGGATGTAGGTTCTCCTCTGAGCTAGCAGTTAGCTAGAAAAACTGGAAAGAGACATTTGAAACTTCAGGAATAGAATATAAACCTGGTCGTCCTTCTCCCTCAAGCTCCCTAGGGATGAGGCAAGTCTGCTGGGCTGTGGACAGCACCCTCAGTCAGAGGGCCAAGGCCCAGGCAGGCCTGCCTCCTGGCTTTACTTCCTCAGATGGATGCTTGAAAGTACAGCAGGGGATCTGGAAAGTCCCTCTGGCGCCGACATTTCTTGGGTCTGAGACTGGTTTGCCATCTGAGCTGCATCTTAGAAGCTCCTGGAGAGGTGTGAAGTGTCTTATTGCCAAGGCCACTCCCTGACCCAGGAAATCCCCATCTCTGGAGGTGGAGCCCAGTCTTCAGGCATCTCCCCAGAGGACTCCAGAGTGTGACCAAGTTTGAGAATCTGCCTTCTCCGGGCCTTTGTTCAGGTACCCGGTGTCCGGTGACCACAGCGCGGAGACTGGGGGCCTTTCCAAAAAGCAGCTACAGCGGGGAGCCAGCTCACCCTCCTTCCCCAAGGCCATGCTTTGGAATATGGGATTAGAGGAAGCGCAGATGAGGGGGCAGGGAGTGGGTCGTAGTGTGGGTATACTCAGACGCGTGCGTGCGTGCACACACACTCACACACACTCACACACACTCACGCTCCACCATCCACCCTCAGAATGGGTCCTGATTACATCTTCCCAAATAAGTGGTTATCATGCTGGCTATTCATGCAGCTATGCATTATTGATTGGCCTTCGCCTCGCTGCCCACCAGATGGGGTAGGAGGGGGTGCGGATGGGGCTGGAGTGTGGGGGGGACGGGGTGGGCGAGGAGGGAGGAGGTTTGGGGGGCCAGCAGGCTGAATAGAAATCAACAGTCGCTCTTGGCAGCTGGAGCTCCCACAGAAGGGGGGGCACTCATTACCTCTCCATTCAGGCACCAGCCAAGAGCTGGGGAATGGTGGGGGGGGATGTCTCAGCAGCCCGAGCCTGGCGATGCATTATTCATACACCCCCCCCCCCCACAGGACTGGTTATTATCCTGAACCACTGTAGAGTTTGGTCTCCTAATTTTTAATCACAGGGAAGGTGGAAGCGTTAGCCTTTTGTGATTAATCCGGAGATAAAAATAGTTGACTGTTTTGGTGTTGTGCCTGTTGTCAGTCAGGGGAAACGCATTAACTGTTGGGGACTGCGACCCGGGGAAGCCCTAAGTGGATCCCGGGCAGAGACTGGGCAGAGCCTGTCTGCGGAGCGGGGAAGCTGTCTGAGACAGGCCTGGTGTGAGAGGGAACCCTGCCTGGCTGCCCCTGGGGCAAATCACATGAGTTGAGGGGCCCCGGGCTGGTTGGCTCTTTTGCGGGTCTCCCTCCTGCCACCCAGGATTTGGCAGGCAGCTAGGAGCCTCCTCCCTGCCCTCGGGCAGAGGAGCTCAGGCTTCTGGACAGCAGTGCAGTGCCTGGGGGACTCTACTGTCCCCCAAGGACATCGCTAGACAGAGGGCAGGGATTGGGCTGGGGGTTTCGCCCTGTTCTGCAGTTGCCTCTGTGCCCAGTGACTGTGTGGCATCCAGCTCATATGACGCAGAGGTCTTAGTTGCCAGGTTGGCTCACTCGCCTGTAGGTGCTGGGAAGCGTCTCTTGGCGCCAGGACATGGGCTTCCTCCAAAGTCTCCTTGGTTGCCTGGGGCCCCCTGACTGGGTTTCCAGGATCCTTGGGTACCCCATCAGCCAGCTGGGGCATCTCTGCTGCTGACAGATGACAATAGCACAGACAACCCTCCCCCACCCCCCAGAAGGTTGTCTCATTCATTGGCTGCTGGGATGCAGAGGAAGGCCAGTGGGGTCAGCCTCTGCGCTGGATAGCAGGTGGGGAAACTTGCAGACGAGACGCCATGCTCTTTGGAGTCTGGGTGTCGTTGAGCTCCTGCAAAGTGTCTTCTCCCACAGTCGGGAGGGGTCTATTAAAAATTGACCCACTTGTATCACCGCTCTGCTGGAACATAGCTGGCACGCCTGGCCCTGCAGCCTGGCCCTGGTCAGCCTCCGCCACCAGAGTTCCTCCACACTCTCCTCACTCCTGCAGCCTTTTGTCTGCTGCAAAGCCAAGCTCATGCCTGGCACAGGGCCTTGGCCTTCTCTCTGTCTGGACTGCTCTCTTCTGTATCTTTGCTCTGCTGGCTTCTTCCTGTGCATGTCGAGGCTTCAGGAAGACCTGGCCACCCCCTATGCTAGCTCCTGTATTCTTCGTGACCCCACCCCACTTACTCTTCCTCACTGGTCTGTGTGCTGTCTGTTTCCCTGATCAGAAAGGAGGCTCTTTGACAACAAAGCAAGACCTGGTCTGCCTCTGTTGCAGCAGGTCAGTGCCTGGCACATAGTAGATGCTCAATAAATATTTATGAAACAAATAAAGAGGGATGGGTGGGTGGGCTGTCTCGGGCATGTGCATTCAAGGCCAGCACTTTTGATGCATGTCTCTGTGTGTGTGCATCTGGAGTTGAGTTGGGGGTCGAGGGTGAATGCGTGTTGGGGGGAGGGGTAAAGAGGACCCCTAGCCCTCGCTGGGACAGCCAGCTCTGTAGAGGCTCTCTACAGTGTGACTTGGGGCACTGCTGCTTCCTGCTGTTTCTGGAGAGGGGGAGCATGGCTGGGAGAGCTTGGGGGAGCCCCTGGGGTGATTCTGGGGGCACCAGTCCTCTGATTGGGGGAGGGAGCCCAGTGTTATCTGTCTGGATCATACACTGGGTGAAAGCTGCAGGCTAAACGTGGTGACAGATCACAGACACAGGCTGCTGGAGTAGGAGGTTTGCTGTCAGCAGTTTGCTTTTCTTTGGTTTCAGGCATCAGCATTCATTCAGCCTCAGGGGACGGGTGGGGAGGGGCTGAGTTGGTGCTGGAAGTGGGAGAAGTAGAGGGAAGCCACCCCAGGCCTCTGGGCTCGTCCTAATCAGTCTCACTCACACCCTCAGAAGCTCTTCTCCCGGAGTCCCCAGCTCCATTCGGCACAACCAGCACCCCCTCTCCCTACTGCTTGTTACATTAGAGGAAGCAAGTACACCCCTCACTGTATGAGTCTGAAGGCAGTGCTCTTTCATAACAGGCTCCTTTTGCAAATGGCATTTGCTTGCCTGGGAATGCA